GGCGATAAGGGAGAGGTCCGGATTGGGGGAGAGCTGAAGGCCGTGATTGAGGGTCCCACGGATGTAGCGAAGGATACGCTTGAGAGCAGCCATATGAGGTTCCCTCGGATCATGCATGAATAGGCATATTTGTTGCACAGCATAGCAGATGTCAGGACGAGTAAACGTGAGGTATTGCAGTGCACCGGCAAGGCTGCGATAAAGAGTGGGGTCAGCAACGGGGGGTCCAGTGGTCGAGGACAACTTGCTCTTGGTGTCAGCCGGCGTAAGACAAGGGTTGCAGGAGGCCATGTGTGCACGCTCTAGTATCTCGTCAGCGTACTTGCGTTGAGAGAGAAACAGCCCATTCGACGAGCGAGTGACTGAGATGCCGAGAAAGTAGTGAAGATCGCCAAGATCCTTCATTGCGAACTCTTGAGTAAGGGCAGCGATGATAGAACGTAGCAATTCAGGTGTGGAGGCCGTGAGTACAATGTCATCGACATACAGCAGAAGGTAGGCGCATGAACTGTTGCGACAGTCGCGTGAACTGTTGCGACAGTCGCGGGAACTGTTGCGGCAGTACACAAAGAGTGAAGTGTCGGACTTGCATTCTCTGAACCCCATGCTAGTAATGTGAGATGCAAAACGCTTGTACCAAGCACGTGGTGCCTGCTTGAGGCCGTAGAGTGCTTTGTTGAGACGACACACGTGAGTGGGGCGAGATGGATCGACGAATCCGGGAGGTTGCTCGCAGTAGACAGTTTCAGAGAGATTGCCATGTAAGAAGGCATTTTTCACGTCAAGTTGGTGGATAGGCCATGATCGCGAGAGAGCAATACTGAGAACTGTTCGAACAGTTGCTGGTTTGACCACCGGACTGAATGTTTCATCGAAATCAATGCCAGGGCGTTGATCAAAACCGCGAACAACCCATCGTGCTTTATACCGTTCCAATGAACCATCAGCCTTCAATTTCTGCTTATATAACCACTTGCCACTGATAACATTAGTAGAGGGGGGGCGGGGCACAATATCCCATGTGTTATTTTTAATCAAAGCAGTATATTCCTCAAGCATGGCCATACGCCAGTTTGGATCAAGGAGGGCATGGCGATATGTAGTGGGAGTTTGGGATGCGGTAGACACGGTAAGAGAAAAGGGGATTTTGGGCTTGTGAATACCGGCCTTGCTGCGTGTCAACATAGGATGGTTGGGTGGGGGTGAGGAAGCGGGAGTGGGAGGCTGTGATTCTGCTGGGTGTGGAGATGCAGTCGGGTGGAGGGGCATGGGTGTAGTTGAGGGAGGACTGTCGGACGAACTGTTGGGACAGTTGGTTGTAACCGTAGGTGGTTGTGTATCGTTGTTGGACGAACTGTTGGGACAGTTGTGTGAGACAGTTGGTTGGACTTGTGTAGGCTGAGGAAGGAAGAGAAGTGGGTGCAGGGGTTCGGTCATATTAGAGGTGGGGGAATTGTGGGGTGAGTCGGTGGGTTCAGCGAATGGAAAACGGCTTTCATCAAAGGTCACATGGCGGGAGATAATGATTCGACCGGTTGACCGATCGAGGCAACGATAGCCTTTGTGCGATGAGGGGTGACCAAGGTAGACACAAGGAGTAGAGCGAGGGGCGAGTTTGTGAGGGGTGGTGGCGGTTAGATTGGGATAACAGAGACAACCGAAGACACGAAGGTGAGAGTATGTGGGTTTTGATTTGTATAGGGATTCATGTGGTGTGCGATTTTGTGTGGATTTGGTAGGAAGGATGTTGATGAGGTGTGTAGCCATATGAAGGGCTTCGACCCAATAGGTGGGGGGAAGGGAAGCTTGAAAGAGAAGTGAGCGGATCATGTTTGTGATGGTGCGGATCATGCGTTCGGCATGTCCGTTTTGAGGGGAAGAGTGGGGACATGAGAAACGGTGTAAGATACCGTGTTTGGCAAAATATGTTTGAAAATCTGTATTTTTGAATTCACGTCCATTATCGCATTGTAAAGCTTTAATGGGGTGCTGAAATTGTGTTTGTATAAGTTTGTGAAACTGTTGGAACAGTGAGAAAACATCGGATTTATAGTGTATGGGGAAAGTCCATGTATAGTGGGTGAAATCATCTATTAGTACGAGGTAATATTTGAAACCAGAAATACTAGAAATAGGAGAGGTCCATAGATCAGCATGAATAATTTCAAAAGGTGCAACGGTAATAGAATGACTAGTAAAGAAAGGTAAGCGAGAATGTTTGCCTAATTGACAAGCATTACAAAGAGACTCCCGTGGGTCTTTGGTACTAGAAATTAAATTGGAAGAAAAAAGACGAGACATGACAGGGTTTCCCGGGTGACCGAGACGACGATGCCATGTGGTAGAGGAGACAGACGTGGTGTGAGCAAGGAGGGCGGTTGCGGATGGGCTGGGAGAAGGGGCGCCAATAGGGTATAAATCACCGGAGCTATTGCACCTGAGGATGAGTGTTCTGGTCCGAAGGTCCTTCACAGAAAAGCCATAAGGGTCAAATTCAACTGAACAAGAGTTATCTCTAGTGAATTTTCGGACAGACACAAGGTTCTTAATGATGTGAGGAGTAACATAGACATTGGTTAGACGAAATGGGGTAGAGGGTAGGATGGTGTGGCCAATTTTATGGATAGGAACAGTGGAGCCATTACCAACGATGACATGCTTGGGAAAATTATTACTAGGATTAAAAATAAAATGGAAATTACCTGAGTGAGGTGCCATGTGAGATGAGGCGCCCGTGTCCATAAACCACTTAGGTTCGCTCGATGACTGAAGAGTCAACGTGTTGAGATGAGTGGCAAGATCTGTTGGCTGTAGGGGACCACTGTTCGACGAACTGTTGGAACAGTTCACGTGCTGTTGGGGATCTTGCTGTCCAACGAAATAAGCATGAGTTGTAGGAGCATGATAAGGACCAGGAGAGCTTGGGGGGGGTCCAAGAATCGATGAAGATGTCTGAGGCGTATAAGGGGCCCGCCAAGGTTGCGATTGGTAGTGAAATTGATTGTAACCGTAGTGTTGCATCGGATGTCGTGACTGACCACGACCGCCACGACGATTTGTGCGACCGCCACCTCGCTGATTGCGCCAAGAACCACCACCTCGATAATTGCTGGAAGTGTTGGGCCAACTGTTGGAACTGTTCGGCCAACTGTTGGAACTGTTGGGGCGAGATGCGTAGAGAACAGTAGGGGTCTGTTCCGGTTCAGCAATGCGATGTTCTTCCATCTGGAGTAGTGAACGTGTTTGGAGAAAAGATGGCAGCGGAGTTTGGAAGGAGATTAGATTGACAATGGTCCCGTAATGTTTTGGTAAGCCGTGGAGGGTTTGGAGGACGAGTTGCTTGTCTGACACGGGGTTGCCGACGTCTGCCAAGTTGTCGGCAGTGGTTTTGAGAAGTTGACAATAATCATGGATCGAAAGAGATCCTTTCTTGAGGGACTTGAACTGTTCTTCGAGTTGGATGGCCCGATAGTCTTCGTTGTCTGTAAAGAGAGAGGCGAGGGCCTTCCACAGATCATGGGCCATTGCGGTTTTGGAGAGAACCATGCTTGAGAGGTCCTCGGTTATGGTGCCATAGATCCAAGATTGGAGGAGGTAATCCGCACGTTGCCATTCATCGGCGGAGATGTTGTCGGGCTTTTTGTTTCCGAGAAGCAGATCGGTGAGGCAGAAGCGACCTGCGGTGATGGTGAAGAAGTGGCTCCACTTTTGATAGTTCGGATTTTTAATATCCAGGGTTACAGGAATAAGGGCTTTGATGTTAGATATAGCATGAGCAAGGTGAAAAGGGTTAGAAATCATGGGCGGTGTTGGTGTTTCGGTGGCCATGGTTGAAGAGAAGAAGGCAGAACGTGAAGAAAAAAAAAATTGAAGAAGGCAGAACGAGAAAAAAAATTTGAAGAAGGAGAGAAACGGCGGCTAGGGTTTTTGGCTTGATACCATGATAGAAGGAGAATATTTGGAGAGAAGAGAGAATGATATCTCTTACGTATATTGAGAATATATATAGTTACATGTAGGAAACCCTAACCTACTACACAAGGTAATCCAATATACAAGGTAACCTAATGTATAAGGTAACTATAATAAATAATAATAATAATAATAATAATAATGATAATAATAATAATAATAATAATATACGCTAATAGATGGGTATATTCGCCACCAAAGTTACTTAAAAAAAGTTGAGAAAAAATATGTACTGTCTAGTGCCACTAGTCATGATCATTTATCAGTGCGTGCAAAATAGTTAATAGCAATTCAACAGAGAATAAATATAATTCTGAAATTCAAACTAGTTCCAAATGCACATTCCCAATTTTTAATGGAAGATTTATGTCTAACTTTTTTTCCTTGTTCATTTTTTCGTTTAATTTAAAATCCTAACTATTTTAATAATTCTACACCCACTTAAAAAAAACACACCTTTTACTATAGACTTTTTTTAATACAATTTAGTAATATAGTTGGTTTGCCGATAATCATCGGTCAACTGAATTTTGATAGTACTATTAGAAACCATTAATCGACCTATTATAGATGGGTTGATCAAAAATTCTGACCAAATTCAATGGGTAGGTTAAAAATTTATGGCCTAAAAATATGGTTGGTATAGGTCGGTTGCTGGGTAATTAAAAACCAATCCAATCCCTCCGCGACAATAATTTAATGTAATTTTTTAAAAACCTCAATAGACCTTTTGAAGAAATAGTTTTCTTAAGCCATATTATTCTAATTCTAAGCATAATGCACAACAACTACAAGTCAATGAGATGGCTTAGTGGTTGGGATGTATTGGAACATGTCTTTGTTTTTTCGAATAAAAAAATTGAAAAATAACTTTAACCATGGTACAAACAGTTGTATAAATCAGTTACTAAGGTTGTAACTTCTAATTTGATTCCATACTACTTCATCGTATAATTTCTAATTTGAAAATTTTAAAGAAAAATAAACGAGTTTATAGCAAATAATACCCCTGTGAAATTTCGAACGGCTAAAAAACCCCTTGTGCTATCTGCATAGGGGCACTATTTGCAATAAACTCAAAAATAAACCTTAGAAGCCTCACAGAAGTTTTCACATCTCACCATTTGCAATTTGCTCAAAAAGTTCTCTCTCTCTCTCTCTCTCTCTCTCTCCCAAACATACTAGCATTCTCAACAAAGCAATGGTAGCAGAAGTGGTGGCAGAAGCTGCGCTGCGAGCAGCCATCCAAGTTATACTTCAAAATCTGACCTCAGTTTCAGTGGAGCAAATCAACCTCGTTCAAGATTTCAATGAAGATTTGAAAAGGCTAAGAGGTTCCGTCTCAATGATTTGGAGTTTCTTGAACGATGCGGAGAAGAAGCAAGTGAACGATGAATCTGTCAAACAATGGTTGAAGAAGCTTGAAAGTGTAGCTTACGATGCCGATAATGTCTTGGATGAGCTCCACTATCATCATAAGAAAATCCAGACTCAACACAAAGTGGAGAAAATGGTACGAGGCTTCTTCCCATACTCGATTCGTCATCCAAACACGACACGTAGAATCAAGGATATCAATAAAAAGTTGGAAGAGATTAATCACGAGGCGATCAACTATGGCCTTCAAAAGGCTGTGGTAGGTGCATATGCTCCTATTGATGGATTAGGCCCATCTGCAAGCACAGAAACCGATTCGTTTACTATCGATCCAATTTTTCTTGCAAGAGAAAAAAATGTGTTTGAAATTGTGAATATGATCACTGATCTTCCAAATGATCAAGTATTCTCCATCCTTCCAATTGTCGGTATGGGTGGATTGGGCAAATCAAGCCTAGCTAAGAAAGTGTTTGATCATGAAACCGTAAAGAATCATTTTGCTAAGCGTTTCTGGGTGCATGTCTCGGAAAATTTCAATGTCGTGATTCTTCTAAAAAAGATTCTTACATCGTTAACAGAAACAAACGTCGAACTTGGAAATAAACAAGCACTTTTGGAAAAGTTTCAAAAAGATTTGGGAGCTGAAAGATTTTTACTCGTTCTCGATGATGTTTGGAATGATAGTCAAGAAAGATGGGATGAATTTATTATTCCCTTGACAAGGATTAGTTCTGCTAGTGGAAATGGCATTATTGTTACTACGCGAAGTGAAATTGTTGCTTCAATGGTGACAACTCTTCCTATTCACAAACTAAATACCTTGTCAGAAGATGACTGTTGGTCCATAATCAAAGCAAAAGCGATTGGGGAAGGTCATATCCCATCAGAATTTGAAACCATTGGAGTATCTATTGCAAAACGATGTCAAGGTTTGCCAATGGCCGCTAAAGTGGTTGGAGGATTGTTGCGTGGTAAGCCAATTGATGAGTGGCTCTCTATCGAAAAGAATTGGCTCTCCGATTTAGGAGATAGAAATTCAATTTCCAAGATTCTAAAACTGAGTTTTGATCATTTATTGTCACCATCACTCAAAAAGTGTTTTGCATATTGTTCGATATATCCAAAAGGATATGACTTGCAAAGAGAGCGCTTGGTTGAGTTGTGGATGGCAGAAGGATTTCTTGGAGGAAATGATGATATGGAGAATGTGGGCAACAAATTATTTAATCTTCTTTTAGAGAACTCGTTGCTACAAGTTGTAAAGGCAAATTGCTATGGCGATATAACATATTATAACATGCACGGTCTTGTACATGATCTAGCATCCTCTATTTTAAATTCAAGCGACCAAGTTCGGTACATTGGCCTGCAGTCTATTGATGGTGAATCGTGTATCCTGAAAGAACAAGCAAGTTGTGTTCGTTCGTTGATGTTCAATGAGAAAATATGCGCTCTCATGTTCTCAGAATTCAAATCGCTCCATGTTTTGATTTTAATGGGCCATTGTGTTGAAGAATTGCCAAGCTCGATCAGAGATCTCATACATTTGAGATGTCTCGATATTTCAGGCATAAAATATTTGAGATGTTTGCCAGACTCTATTGGTGAACTCTATCACTTGCAGACATTAAGAGCATGTTATGCTCTGGAGAAGCTGCCAAACACAATGAAACACTTGATCAGCTTGAGACATCTCCACATTCCTGCTTGGATAGAATTGCCTCCAGAGATGGGAAGATTAACTTCTCTAAGAACACTACCATATTTTGGAGTGGGCGATGAAAAGGGTTGCGGAATTGGTGAGCTCGGAACCTTGAAGAATCTCCAGGGGGAACTGGAGATTTATAATCTTGATAAGGTGTACGACAAAGAAGAAGCTAAAAGAGCAGAATTATTACAAAAGTCAAACATAGTCAAGTTAAAGCTTGCTTGGAGAGAAGTTGACAATAGAGAAGGTGAAAATGGCGATGAGAGTGTGTTGGAGGGCCTCCAACCCCACCCAAATTTAAAGAGTTTACAAATTTATGGATTCGGAGGAAGAAGTTTGGCGTTGTGGTGTTCAAATATGGTGGGGCTTAATAATTTGATGGAGATAAGACTTGAAAACTGCACAAAATGTGAGCAAGTTCCAACGCTAGGGCCCTTGCCACGCCTGAAGACCCTTCATTTGATTAACTTGGAGAATGTGAAATCCATAGATTCGTTATTTTACGGAATCGACAATTGTAGGAGATGCAATAATACAATTACTGTATTCCCGGCACTTGAAAGGCTAGAGTTGGTAGGAATGTCGAAGTTGTCAGAGTGGTTAGAAGCAGAGTTGATGCCATATGCAACTGAGAATCAACAACTATCTCAATTACTATTGGTGGTATTTCCTTCCCTTAAATACTTGGAGGTTAATGGTTGCGGAGAATTGATGAGTGCTCCTAGTCATTTTCCATGCCTTCAAGAATTGGGAATATCTCGAGTGCATAGTGGAGTACCTTTGGCAAATATATGTGGGGTCAACTTAACCTCACTTGCGAAACTCCGAATTGTGTCAATTGATGGATTGGTGTGTCTCCCAGATTCGTTATTCCATAACAATCAAAAACTATCGTCGCTGATGATATGGAGATGTCCCAACTTAACGCATCTAGTTCGGCGCTTCCAAAATGGCGGTGCCTCTGCAATGAGGGAGTTGGAGATATGGGATTGTTCGAAATTGACAGAATTACCGGACAATCTACACAGCCTCATTGCTCTCGAGAGATTGAGTATACATCGATGCCCAAATCTGGAGACAATACCATATCCACATGAATCACGCAATCAGCAATTATTAGGCTTCAGTTGCCTTCGCCAATTGAGTGTCACTCAATGCACAAGGCTAACCAATTTGGCAAGCGAAATGATAGAGACGTGTGCGTCGTCCCTCGAGAAGTTGGAATTGCGTGAGTTGACAAGTTTAACCAACGTGGGGATGGTGATTGGGTATTGCTTGCAGAAAATGCCTCGTCTCTCGAAATTGGTCCTTGTTGATGTTCCGATGAATACGATGATCACCACTGATTCGGTTGGTGTTTCTCTTGGCTTATGTAGCTTGAGAAAGCTAAGGATCGGCACATGCGACGAGTACTCACATTCGTCAGATGTAGTTGATGCCATCTTGAACGCATCGTCCAAATCTCTTCGTATATTAGACTTAGACGGGACAGAGCATAGTCGGGAACTACCGGATCAGCTTCAACATCTCTCTGCTGTTTCTGAGCTATGCTTAGAAAATTTCGTTGAGATAGAAGAATTACCTGATTGGGTGATTGGGAATAACAACAACAACTACAACAACTTGTCATCGTCTCTGCAGAAGTTACGTATATCCAACTTTAAGAAGTTGTGTCGTTTGCCATCTAAACAAGCCATGCTACGCCTCACCAAATTAACCGATTTAAAAATCGACAAATGCCCGATGCTAAATCTAAACGAGAGACGAGGTGCAGATGATGATTCTGAGTGGCCCAAAATTTCCCATATCCCCAACGTTATTGTGGACGACGAAGTAGTAATTCCAACTAATACACACTAAGATGTAAGTATACTTATTTCTCTTTTATATTGGATTAACCAGATTATATTTGTCTAATTTGTTTTTTTTTTTTATTCTCTTGGAGTTTATCAATTAATTAATTACTACATGAGAGAAACATTGTACTTCATTGTCAAATAATATTTGAACTTTGCATTCATTTCGTGCCCTGCACAACTTATTCTCTTGATTTGTTCAGTTTTTCTGCCAGTTCAAAGTGGATTTTTTGGTTTATGCTATCACTTATGTATGCATTTTTCTTTTCATTTTTATGACTTAATGAAATAAATATTATTTAAAAATTTTGAATTCCAAATGCCAATCAGAATTTGAATCTATTTTTTGTATGCCAAATGCCAAAAAGTAGGGGTGGTTCCATAAGCGATCGAACCATAACGAACTGAAAATTTAGTAATTACTGAGCCGAGCCGTGTATATCGGTTTGGTAAATGGAAATGAAATTATGGCATATCGAATTTCGATTTACCAAACTTTCGGTAGGATTCGATACAGATTACCCAAATAAATATCCATAGCCAAAACAAATTTAATTTATTAGAAGAAATTGTAATCTTTTTATTTCGAATTAATGTTTCGATGCAAAAAAAAAAAAAAAAAAAAAAAAAGAGACAGAGAGACCCCTCTTTAAAATATTATTTCGGTTGCACTTTACCCAAAACACAGTTTTCGAAGGGCATCCTACAACAAAAATAACATATGAAAGGGGCGACGTGCAAACAAAAAAAGAAAAACATTTTTAAGGGACAATGTGCACCAAAACACTCAATTCCGGCGAATAATCCATTGAAATTTCGCTATCGGGGCAACGCACAACAAAAAAATAGCATTTTGAAGTGGATAATTACTTCTTTGAATTTCGAGGGGAAAGTGCGAAAATGAAAATTTAAAGGGGTGAAATGCAATTTGTCCATAAAAATGTACTGGTCTTTAGAAAAAATAAATAATGTAACTAAAATATCATTTCCCCTAATTAATTACATCTTTTGCGGTTCTTTCGACTCTACACCCGGTGATAAACACCGAGTGGGTCTTCTACTGACAGGTTTTATATTTAATTATTTATTATATATTTCCCCACTTGTGTTAATCTGTAGGGGTTTTAGAAAAATACCAAAAATTGCACGTGTCAGCGAAAAACTCACCCCGTGTTTATCACCGAGTGTAGGGTCGAAGGAGCCTTTTTCGCTTGTGAGACTTATTATATATTTGAAATAATTTATCAACACTAATTATTTTAAGGGCAAATAGCGGTTCGCCCTCTCAAAAAGTGCAATTTTAGCACTTTCCCCCCAAAAAAATATGAGAAAGAGACATTGCCCCTTGAAAATATACAAGTTATTGCATTTAGCCCCTGATCCGTATTTACAACAGATTTAAATAATTTGGAAGGATAATTTCATCCGATCAAGTACAATAGAATCCGATTCTCTCACGTGGACAAAAGAAAAACTGAGAAAAAAGCAGAGTAAAACTCTGATTACTGCAGGATTCACTTATTACTATCTCTCCTATTCACTTTGTCTCTCACAGTCAGTCACACACACTGACACACATGACAGAGAGATTCAGATGTCCATGCATTCATCTTATCGTGTCGTACCCATTGTCCCCTACCGGAGCGTTCCATTTCCGAAGCCAGCAGGTGGCTTGTGAGGTTCCACCGACGGAACTTTCCAATTCCGACAACGACTGCGTCCGAGGATTCAGGTTCTGGAAATGGAGCCCGAATCCATAAGGCCTTCAAGGATTTGAATCCTTGACTCCATATATAATTTCAGATTTAGGGAGAAAAGAAGAACTCTGATTTAGTTGATCCAATTAGGGGGAGAAAAGGAGAGCCTAAGTGACGAAATTACCCTTTCAAATTACTCAAATACGACGAGAATTTCACTAGAATTACACATTTGGGGCAAAGTGCAACAAGTTGTATATTTTGAAGGGGCGTTATTTTTTTATTTTTTTTAATTTGCAGGGGGAAATGCTAAAATGACATTGTTTAAAGGGGCGAAGTGCTATTTGCCCTTATTTTAATGTATTATTTCTCCAAAACAATGCTAGATAAAATTGTATTATAAATGTATTTTTTTTAATAAATTTGAATACTTTAAGACAAGTGATAAATTAAAAAGTATTTAAAAGACATCCTTTCTATTTTTGTAGAATTTTAAAGGTTCAACAAAATTAAAAAAATAATATTTATACAAGGTATTAAAGAAATAGTTATCCTATTTAAGCTATGTTTGATAAAATTAAGCACTGAATATTGAATAAACATCTAAATAGATAATAGTATTGTCTGAATACTGAATAATTAAGTTTGTTTGATAATTATATATCTGAATGATGTAATATTACTATATTAACCCTACATATAAATTATTTACTAGTTGAATTATTTTCAATATCTAAATAAACTTTATATGAGATAAAACATAAAAAGATATGGAGACAAAGAATGATATATTTATTTACGATAAAATAATTTAGTTGAAATCAAGATTTCAAAAACAAGATTATAGATTCTTATAATATGCTTTGCGATTAAATAATTGATTAATTGAAATCAACATTATTCCTTGTAGAATTCAGCATTAAGTTTAGTGTGGACCAAGTCAAATGAATGATACGTGTAGTTACTAGTTAGTAGTTGGCCATATTTTTAAAGGTGGCACTGTGAATGCATGTGCATGGATTTCTCTAACGTGGTCTTGTAATATGAATATCATATCATATACTGTGGTCGAGCTCGCTCTTAGGGATTTGAGTATCCCAAGCTGAGCTCCAAATCTGGACTCCATGAACTGAGTATCAATAGCAGGAGGATATGGGGTAGCTAGAGAATCGGACCATGGCATATCTGGAACGTAATCAGTCGTAAATGGGCCAACTAAATCTCTATATGTAAGTACCTGAGATGCAGACGCACCGAACATATCCATAAATCCATGCGTACCAGATAAATTATCCATACCTCCATGCATAGGAACATGTCCATAAAAGGGGGTATGAGAGGCGAATGGATCGACAACATCTTCAGCAGGAGGTACCCGAGACGTAGATGCATAATAGTTCCCCTCTCTCGCCTGTCTCAAATCATCCTCCAATTCGGCAGTGCCGGAGCGTCTTCTGGTACGTCTACCTTGCGTTTGAGAAGGTATAGGAGGTATGGGATGTATGTTGAATGAATCACTATCTCTGCGCAGAAGTTGAGTCCCTGCTGTATACATCAGTGTAGTGTTGTCCTCATACAGATTATAAATCCGATCGTTATCTCGAGACACTGCCCTAGCAACAAGACTCATGGATATAAGCTGATTACCCTGAAATAAAAGGCATTACATGTTTAAGAACTTAAAAAACTGACATCGAGAAAAATGAAATAAAAGGCATTACATGTCGTAAAACCTTTCATATCGGACCCTTCCAACATCTACAAAATCTGCCACGACTTCTGGAAATGACATCAACAAAAATGGAATTGACTCATACAACGTTGGTTGTGCCTCCGCTTCTGCCCCTATCCCTTCGTTGTGTTGCAACAACGTCTCTCGGACATCACGGAGATCTACATCTTCTTCGTCGTCGTCTCCATTATCGGATGGTTCCGAATTAACGGGACTGTTCGGCCTAAGGGAGTCTCCTATAGGTTCATCATCTTCGAAAATTTTCCGTCTCGTCCCACTCGACTCACCAACAAATCCCCCTAAATTACCATAATTAATTGTATAGGGATCTCTGTGGACCTCTCTAGCTCCACTCGTTTCACAATAGTTTTCGAACCATAAGTTGGGGATACATTGCGCCGCCAGAATATCGGGGGTCACTTGTGGTTGTGATCAGTTTGGTTCATTCAAATCAAATGCTTCTACACTCACTTGTGGTGGGGCACTATCAAAGTATCTCGGTTAGACCTCAACAAATACTTTGATTGAATAGTTCCATTCGTCCGGATCGATATACAATTGTAAATCGTCATCCGCTGTCATTTCGGTGATCATTCCTTCGTTCTTCCTCCATTTAAAATGTAGGATTTGCAATACACTCTTAGACCAAACTGATTAATATCGACCTCTAGACGTTGATAGAACTTTGACAAAATTGAGCAAATGACAAGTCACGTTTAATTCAAAATATAGTTGTGGGCAATACTATATCTCGTTGCCCAATCGTCGGGAATTATGTGACCTCCCAAGTACACGTACACTTTAACATTATTTCTAGCCGTCATCAATCTTCAAAAGAATAAGGAAATAATTATTAATTATTGATTTTAATTTAATTTTATTTAATAGAACTACAAATTTAATATACAATTACTGCACTAAAAATTAGACTATAGCCCTAAAATTAAGCATGTTTTAGAAATTAGGCATTAGCCCTAAAATTAAGCACTATAAAACCACACGTGATATGTAATCTTTAAGTTAACACATGCTATAAAATAATTAATAATTAAACATACATGCTATAATTGTACAATTAATTAAACACACATGTTGTAATTAAAATTTAATTAAACTCACATGCTATAGTTGAATAATTAATTAAACACACGTGCTATAATTAAAAAAATAATTAAACCCATATGTTATAATTAAATAATTAATTGAATACGTATATTATAATTAAATAAATAGTTAAACGCACATGGTATAACTAAAAAATATTTAAAGACATAGTTAACTATTTAATTAATAAATATAAACAATAATTAAATAAATTATAACCTTGTAGATGGACCGGATGGCGGCGGCTGTGGGGCGGGGCGACGGCGAGTTGGTCGGACGGCGGCGAACAGACCGACGGTGAGTGGCCGGACAACGGTGGATATTTGTTTTCCTTTTTTGGTGAGTTTTTTTTTTCTTCTTATTTTTGGGCAAAATGAACGGGAGAGCGAGGAGAGAAGAAGATGGAGGGAAGAGAGGGAAGAGAGTTGGGGAGCTGGCAATTATGGAGAGGAGAGAGAAAGAGAGCTGGGGCAGCTGGGCAATTATGGAGAGGAGAGAGAGTGGAGTCGCCGTTGACCATGGCGACTGGACTCCAGTCAAGGGACGCGTTTTTAGGCAATCTTATCCACTACCAGCCATTGGATCGGTGATCTCGATCTGAGCCACACAAATTATTTCATTAAAATAAAATAAAAGCATTAATTCAAATTCGATTTAAAAAAAAATTAATTAGACCGGCTAAATGGAGTCGCCACGCCACGTGGTGACACTAAATGGAGTCGCCATGCCACGTGGCGACAGACATTTTTTTGTTTACACTCTTCAAAACAGCCCTATTTTGTTTACTAATTTTAAAAACGACCCTGGAAAAAAAAACGCTCATCTTTTATCATTATTGCTCGAATTTGTTGAAGATTAACTAATATAAATGAAGGTGTTCAATAATTGAGGAGGCAGTTGTAGTGGTCAAAATATTAAATTTTTATTTTGATTATAATGAGGAAGAGAAAGTGGGTGGTGGTAGTGAACTTTCATTCGTGAAGAGGTAAGTTTGTCTAAAATCTCGTTCAGAGATTGTCTGAATCAATAAGAAAGATGTTTTCAACTCATTCGTTAAGGTCATCTC